TCTTTGATCAACCAATTTTGTCCCATCTTTATTGTAAAGAGGTCAGAAATTGAAATGTATATAATGTTATCCTATAATAATATTTATACTATACTACTAAAGTAGTCGGGTTGTTTAATAGGTACGGTTAAATGTCATAAATTTAGGAGTAAAATATCATTTATTAACAATGTCGACCGTTGATGACTTTGAGGGGTTTAATTTTTAGTTATTTAATTTTGTATTTAATGTTTAATATTCAATCTTATGGTGTAAATGTCCATGGGAAAGCACTAGGGTGTTTAAAAAAAGTTATACAAAATTAACAAAACTAACAATCACAAACTAAACTAACCAAACTTTCAAAACAATAATTAAAAGCTAGGCGCGTGAAATCCCAATATCACACAACAATAGGCATAGAAATAATAATATTTTTTTCTATGAAAATATTACCCTAGAAGAATAGAGCACAGAAAAGCTAAAATTATTCTTATTTAATGGCCGGCGTTGTCTTGTCGTGTTTCAGTTTCTTACAAAAATGCATAACATTTAAAAGATATAAATAATATTAAATAATAAAGCTTTCTTAACCAAACCCTGTAATGATGTAGCTTGTACTCGCTTTTTAACCAATTACCAAAGCATAGGAAATAATGGCTTATGCCGCCACTGGATGTGTTTAATTAATATATTAATTAAACACATCCAGTGGCGGCCCGTCAGGGGAGGCAGGTGAGGCAGTGCCTCATCATAGAGAATTAAAAAATTAAGTATAATTTAAATATTTTACTTTCTATAATATACTATAAATTTTTAATATTTGGATTACATGAATTGTGAAATAGTCAATAAAATTGATTGATTTTATACGTGAAATACCCAGCAACATTTAAATTATTTGAATTTGAAACGACCGCAATTTAAACTAATATTTATATCTAGATGATTGGCTCAGAAGCATGCCTGAACTAATTTAGACTCACGATTGGCGTTAGCCTTGTCGTCTCGTTCTATTACAATGCGATATCATAGTTGTCTCCTTCTCTCGTATTAGCATACGCGAGGCAGGCACGCCTACATCCAAGGAAATAAGCAGGTGTTGTGGCAACACGGAATTTTAGATAAATTATACTTCACACGTTTTTCAAAATTCAATAATAAATGGTATTATTTTTCTTATAATAAATCGATTTAATCGAAATTATATTTCTATTCTAAAATAAACATATTTTAACACTATCGCCATCTTGTAGCCATCACTGTAACCAATAAAATAAATACAGATTCCTTCTTTAGGTTTGTTTTGGTTATACAATTCTGAACTGTTTAAAGAACAAATCTGTGGTTATTTACGCAATATTTTGTTTATTCTTTTTCTATGAGTTTGTCTATTTTATGATTCTTTTGTAAGTGGTTTATTCTGTGGGTTTAGTTTATTGAACTTGGTAATTTATGTGAATTTAGTCATTATGGATATAACGGTGAGAAGTTGTACCGATATTGTTGACCTTCAGGTGGTTCTTTTTCTAAGTACTGCATTTTTCTTGCATAGTAAATCCAGTATTGATGGTACAAATACATGCCTTTAATTTGTTACGAGATGATTTTTAATGTAGCAGATTTCTGTCTATGTAGCGTATTTAACTGTGATTTTTTCTATAATATAATTAATATTTTAATTGGCGATTTAGATAAACTTTTTAAATTTTCACTATCCTTTTTAATAAAATTGTAATTTACATTATCGGAATTAAAATAAAATGGGAAAATAGAGTTTTAATAATTCCCATTGAAATAACACAAAAAACCAATTTTTCTTTATTATGTGTCTTTGGATAGTCCATTGCTAACTTCGTTATTATCGGAGCTACAAAGTCGGTTAAATTAGCAAATTAGTCATATTTTGTCTTCTACTTATTTAAAATGGTGAACACAGAAATATATTTAATTTTGCTTCTTTGGTATAAAATATAAATTTATTAAATTTCATATACATTTTTAGGTTTTTTCATGATATATATCTTTGCAATTTATAATAATTCATATTGTACTTGAAATGTAAAAATTATATAAAAATATTACGTGTAAAGGTAAATTTGGTTTGATTTTTTTTTTATTAAAAACCTATTTTTAATATTTATACACAATATTCAATTTTTACTTTATTTTATTCATAAGATTTTTATGTTCGTTTAATCATTTTCATACCAATCTTGAGAAAGGTGCCTATTTTATTCATGAACAATTTTTATCAAATACCTTTATAAGGAATAGGGATATAATATAAAATTCTTTATATTGAATGTTATTAATGTATACTTTTTAAAGAAAGATATATATATATATATATATATGTATATATATATATAAATAACAAATGCAAAATATTTATCGCGTTTTATTTTTTGTCTCAAAATATATACCTAATATTTATTTCTGCGTGTTTGCCATTTTTGTAAACTCAAATATGTTAACATAAAAGGTTTTGAAACCTTTTCAAATATATTTCCTTAAAAAATCATTGCAATTTATAAAAACATATATATGTATATGTTAAAAGTAATATTATTCCCGGCGCATTCGCCATTTATTAAAGTATTTTAAATTATGTATTTAATTAGTACCCTGGGTATACTCGTCACTTTCCTTGCATTCAAATTTAGAAAACACAGATATTTCAAAAACTGTTTGAAAAAGTGACTGGCCTGGCCTGGAACCGTATATTTATTATATTATCTATGTTCTCATAACAAAATACTGTTTAATTTTCTCCGAAAACTTAATGAGGTAAAAAGTTTCTCAAGTTTTGTAGAATCACCCATATGTTACTGCTACAACCCCCTTTTATTAAAAAATAAGTTATTAAACCTCTGTGTTTTTAACAACCAATTACTATTAACCTTATTGAAAAATAAACAAAGTTTATGAGTATTTATAGCAACATGTTTCTTTATTTCACCAATAAATCTTTTAAATTTATCAGTTATTCCCCAAACTGACTGTATATTAGTTGGGGTAATGCAACATTATAGCCGTACATTAACATTCATATTAAGACGTATTTTCAGAGCTGTCTTATATTAAGCTTCTAGAATCTTAAACCACTAACCGTTTATGTAATCTACTTATAACTTTAAATTATACCTATCTAATAAATTAACATGCTCATTTAACTACTTACTATACTGAAAACTTGTCAAAAATCATTAGAATTAAGTTTAGTTATTATTAACTAGAATCCAAAAATGTATAAAATTGTCATTTTATAATAGTTATTTATGTATTAAGGGCATAATAAGGTTTTTATGGCCCGAGGCGCTATTTCGAGCCCGAGCGCGTTAGCGCGAGGGCTAGAAAAGCGTCGTAGGACCATAAAAACCAGTTATGCCAGCAATACATACAAAACTTTATGCACGATTAATATATTATTACTTTTAATATATTATTGTTTTTAAGACGTTTACGTCAATGAATTTTTGTTATAATTGTCATATTATAATGTCAACTGACATCAGTCAGTTTTAAAGTATAAAGATGAATGAAATTGAGGAAGCAGCTGAAAAGGCGAAAAATTGCGGCCTGCTGTCGGAAAAATCAAAATCTTTATACGAAAAAACTTACTTCAAATATATCAAATGGTTGTAACATTGTTGTTTTTAATTTTTGACGTTTCATTATAGCCCGCTGGGTCATAATAACGCCCGCGGGCTATAAAAAGACGTTTACGTCAAAGAATTTTTGTTATAATTGTCATATTATAATGTCATCGTGCATAAAAGTAATTTATGATATAAGTGCCAAAAGTGACAATCTATTTTATGAAAAGTACAAATCATTATTTCTTACTCTAGTAAATTTATAAAATATAATTTTGAAATCCAATTGTTTAGGAAGTTTATTGTTGCTAGGTTTTTTTGTCAAGAAACTTCAAATCTCGTGACATAGAAAGTGATCAAGAAAATAATTACCTCCCGGTGAAAATCGAAAAAGCTGCTAATAAAGCCAAATTTAATTATAAAAATAATGGTTTATTCTCAAATATATTTTATAGTTAGTTATTAATATAATTCAATTTATTATTATTAACTTATTTTTGTATAATTAAAGTGTTTTTGTTACAAACATTTATTTATTTTGAATGTTGATTTTATTGTCTATTTTTACAACAATACAAATATACTGGCTTTTAATCCTTAGTAAAATAAACACATTTTAAATATAAATTGTAATTCAGCAAATTTTAAAATTTGTATTATAAGGATAAAATAAAAATATTCATTTATATGAACTGAAAAAAAAATTACGTAATTCTATGTTAGCTGAAAGGATTTCGTTAGAAATCTATGCCAGGAAAATTTTCCCTTGGGGATAGGGTAGACCTTGTAATCATTATTATCTAGTAATCCTATAAAAGGACAAAAGTAGAAATGTATATTATTTTTACGTTTTATTATTTTATCTGTTTTGCGTTCATAATGACTTCATTATAACACCGCTTTCGGTGCTGTAATGAGATACTTTATCCCACCCAAAATTTTGATTTTATAGGTTGGCTATACTTTAAACAGCATAATATTTTGCATATTGTTTATAATATTTTTATGATTTTTCTAGTACTTACGAGACTTTTCTGGCAATAAATTTTGTTTAACACCAAAGAAAATCCTTTTAGCTTCTTTAACATTAACAGCCGCTTATTGTAAATAAGTAAATTAAGGACGGCATGGCGAATCGATTTTGACATTAACCAATGACTGTGATACCAACTATTTAAAGTAAAATTCGACCAAATTAAATTTAAGGTATAAAATTAATTTTTTTATAGAATTTTTGCAAAATAGATAAAATAGCATAGCAAGTCCATTACATTAGTTCTTTAATGTACTATTATTAGGTAGTATTTTTTTTTAATTTTAGATGTTTATCTATCAATTATACTGCAATTTCTACTTGATATTTATTTTAAATTTATTATTTATTGTATGCATACTTAACTAATACATGTTTTTGTTTCAGATATCAAAATTAGTTTGATGAATACATTTTGGGTAAGTTTTGGAATAAACCAAATTTAAATGCAATTTTTTTAAACATTTTAAACGTAAATTTAAAACTTTATAATTAGGCAACTTAAATTTATTTATATTCATAATAATACTAGTTTTAATGGCTTTTTATACAATATTGTAAATTTGTTTTAAAATATCCATTACGAATTTTAATATACAGAATGGCCCATCAAAAACAGTCCAAAATATATTATAATAATAACAATAATAATAATATTATAATAAAAATATGTTTAATTTAATTAAAATTTGTGTTTTTTTTTCAGATTTATTTTTACAAAATGTGGCCCTGTAATGATGCTCGGGTAAATTTTTTTTTATTTTTTATACTAACAATAATAGTCATGTTACAATAAATGTGTAAATTCCTTATATGTTTGTATACTACTAGCTATAGCTATAGCTTATTATAATCAAGCAATTTAATTTAAAAAGGTTTTGAAAAATTCTGCGCATCGACTCTATTATTGGGTTTTGAGGAATACTCTCCCATTCAAAGGTGTTCAATTGGGTTTAAATCGGGACCAGTGGCTGGCCACTTCATAACACTTAAATTTTGTTTTTCCAAAAATTTTAAAATTATTTGCGTAATAGATTTCTAGACTTGTCGAGATAAAAAAAATTCTTTACATTGCTATTTTTGTATAATATTTCTGGTATTTTTATCTACATTTCCAGATTTATTTTTTAACACTACTTTAAGGATCTGGAAAGTTTGATTTAATCCAAAGTGTCTCACACGACATGTTGATAAATCTTTGCGACTTAACTTGCCAGCGAAATATTTATATAATTACTTTATTTTTGATAAAAAAAAACCTTTATCAATAAGAATTATATTGGCGGTAGGCAAACAATGTTTTAAGAAAGAAAACTTTTATTGTTTAAGTATTATTTTCTACACAAATTTAAAAACATTAGAATGTTGACGACAATTTTTGTCATTGGGTAGCTACTCCAGGACGAAAAATTCAAAAAGTAGGTGCCCATGTATTCATATCAACTTTTTTTCGACAGATTGACTGTACTAAACGATTGGTTAACAATTGGCCAATCTTTCAATATAATTATCTCGAGAGAGATAATTAGTTTACACCACTTGTTTATTATTAATTTTTCTATTAACCCAAACAATAATACATCTGCATCCAAGACACTATAGGGAGGAAATCCCATTAAGTTTAATGAGCTTAGGTTGATTACCTAAACATATTTGCTTATTTTAAAATTCTTGACTTGAATTCCATTGGCTTAAGAGCCAGTGGATTTCTATACAACATACAGTGTGTATCAGCCAAATGGCAAAAATTCTATAAAACATAAATAAAGCCTTTTTCCAAAAAACGCTCGAAAACGTTGATTGGTATTTTAAGTGGCGCATTTTTTTAAACAAAAAGTTTTTATACAGGGTGTGTGCAGCAGTGGTCAATACCAGCTTTCTTATTTCAAATGCAACACCCTGTATAATATTCAATTTTTTGATTCTTCAGAAAATTGTATACATATTTTATGTACAATGTCCATAACTTTCTTTATAATAGATATACGACTTTCTATATAATATATAACAGAACTTCAGCAGTAATATTGTGCTGTTCTGCTGTAGATTAGGGCTTGTGCATTATAAGTTTGTTTTTAAAAATATACAATAAATTTTCATTTTTCGTTGGACGTAGTGCGTTTGTCTGACAAGTTTTAAAGTAGTTAAATATTGTGCGTTGAAATAAATTAATTTAAAATCGCAAATAAACAGTGGCGAATATTTAAGTTTGCAAAATTTAATTAGGATTAATAAATATTAAAAAGTTTTTCTGTAAGATATCGAAATTTTATTATTTTTAGGCCCGAGGCAACTTTTTTTATACTGGATTACCACGATTTAAATAAACTTTTTTGTGTTTATATTGCCTTGAAAGGATTTTAAGTTTACGACAAATTTAATTTTGTTTATTTTGCTATAAACCGCATTAATTGTGTTCAAAACGATACAAGCGAAAAAATATTAAATTAAATTATCTTTATTTTCTTTGCATTTTACAAAAATAAAGTAACCGTAAAAATGGAATCTGTATTACCGGCGGCAAATGTCAAATTTTTCTGTGTAAATCAAAATTTTTCCCTTTAAAATGGACTAACAACCGTTTAAATCCTAAATATAAGCAATTTTTTACAGTGAAAGTAAACAGAATGTTTTATGGGCACTTCAAAGCGAAATTTGTATTTTAACGATTGTACGACATTTGACGTGACGTGACTAAAGCGTCATAAAGCCATAGTTTTTCAATATGTATTTAAAAGATCACTTAGTGTCGAAAGCGGTGTTATAATGAAGTCATTATGAACGCAAAATAGATAAACATCATTTATGACAATAACATGGTTTATTTTCAAGCGGTCTATAATTTAAACTTTATTATTTTCAACACTTAATATAGTAAGTATAGTAGTATACTAAGTAGTATACTAAGTGATTGATATCGCCTAGGCCAACAATAGAAAGTATGGATATTCCGTGATAAATCCAATGTAATAATATTGCGCACAAATAAAACTGTCCACAATAATTCAAAGACCTAAAATTTTTAAATTAAAATTTCTCTTTTTATTAAATTAATTTAAAATTTCAATTTTATTCATTCTAGTGAGCGATTTTTTGCGACAGTAGGTATATAAAAATTAATTGAAAAATGTTGATGACCTTTTATAACCGTGTTTCATTTACTCATTCCTCCAAAATATTTATTTTTCTACGCTGAATAATTTTCTTTTATTAAACAATTTTCGGGAGTTTATAATAAATGTAGAAATTTATGTTTTTTTTGTAGGCAAAACTATATTTCAAAGACTTGTTAAACACCATGTATATAATATGCGGTAAAAACATTAACTAAGTAAAAGTTTAAGGGAAAACAAAAAAACTAAAAGCTTATACTTGTACTAGCAAGGTTAAAAGTATTAATTTCGTAGCAAGAGGCTAAAAGCATCATCTTTAAATTATTTTACCTGTAAAATTCTATTACAAGATTCTTAATTTTAATATTGGTTTTCACGTTTATATAGTAATGCACTAATCGCTTTAGCGAGCTTTTACTTAAGATGTTTTAGTTTATATAATGAGGAAATTAACAGGTGTTGCTGTGGAAAGTCCAGGTGAAAAGCCCTGTATATGGTTTGTGTAATATGATAGTACATGTTTTTTTTGATATTTAATAAAAATTGTACATATTTATTGCTAAACCTTAAACATTATTAGATCTACATAGGTCATTAATGCCTATTATTATTAATACATCAAAATAAAGTAATAAGTATAAAAAAATTGAAAACTTGAATTAACGTATGTTGCATTTTACAACCATATTTTACAATTTTTTTTACATCACATACAACTCTTTAAGTAAAATTCTTCTAAAACTTTATATGAGTCCTCTGCACAGAAGCAATCTAAATTTTTATTTGCTTAATTACTATTAAACCAAAATAGGGAAATATTTTTTGCGTTAAATTTATAGATAGTATACATACAATAGTAACGTTATTAAATAAATCAAATTAGTATTTAATGCAACCTACCATTCTAACAAATAAATATCAATATGAATATCAATAAATTTAGGAGCGATAACTTTTGTTGTTAATTTAAAAACAGTAAACGATTATAAACCAAGTGCTAACTACCTATTGGTATTATAGGAACTGTTATTCAGGAATACGGATTACAAGATCCCATTGGTTTAATGGCTCACCCATTCATGCGTTTTTTCTGTGTGGTTTTTTATATATGAATGTGGTGAAGCCTTTGTGCCTATTGTATAAAGTACATTTAACAAAAATTCTACTGTCTAATATACAACACTTTAGGGGATTACTTTTATTATCCATAAATTTCTTGATAAATTTATATATTTATAATATAGTAGGTTATTTAGAATTTATATATGCCGTTGTTTTAAAGATTTTAGTATAAAATGGATAGTTTGTTTGTTTAAACTTATTTAAACATATATAATATTTTACTAATACCTACAAGTTTTTAAGGTTAAATAAGGTTTTCTTATTTAATATTATAAATTCAAAAACAATGTCACAAAAATTGTACTAAATAAAAAAAATTAAAAGTTTGACATTTTGATCTAGCTTGAACTAACTAACTTGAATAATGGTTACTCCACTGTTCTATACAAATATTTAATTTAAAAGGTATACGAGTATGTAGTATGCAACTCGTTTATAAACTTTCCTAGACGCCCCAAAAAATTGTGTTCCATATTAAATATTTTATGAATAATTTTACTTGTTTTGTGTTTTGATCTTGTACAAAATTGTATTAAAAAGTAATACTAACTTTAAGTAAAAACTCTTTAAATTTTTAATGTTGCGTGTAGATTATACCGTACATTCCCTACATACATTTTTAGCAAGTAATATATTTTTTTAAATTTTAAACATATAAATAATTTATATTTGAACATTTTTATAGTAAGTTTTTGTGAACAAAGTCCAAAATTTTATTAACTCAAAAAATTTATAAATAATTTAAATTTTTTAGGGGCATAGTTAAATACATTTTCTTAGTGAATATTGGTCAAAACCAAAAAGACATATTTAATTACAAATAAAAACAATGTTGCCATGCTAAAAATAAAAATGCTTTGACTTTGACGTTTAGACTGATTATTTCAATTTTACTGTTATTCAAAAAAATGCTACTTAATATTTAAAATCTTAATTAAACAATTTTCTTTCAAAAAATTCAGTGTTAACACAAATCTCAATTATAATTTATTTATAAGTAATTCTTATAGATATCGACATCAATAAATCTTAAATCTCAATAAATATTAATAAGATTTAATTTATTAAATTATACCAATTTAAAATAAAATATTCTGAAAGTTTGAACACAATTGGAAATTTAAACAACAAAAAATTGCGAATTGTAATTTTGACGAGTTAATAGAAAAATGTAATTTTTGTTTGTTCACGAATCGGTGTTGGATGACAAATACAATTACCTGAAATTCTAATTCTCCACGTTATTCCTGTTACCTATGTCAAAAAACGCACATGCATAACAAAGTGCAACAGTTACACAACTGGGACGTGGTTTGAATTGGCCGATAGTATTATTTTTGCAGAAGAAATCCCTCAAAGGGCTTTGAAAATTTAGCTCCACTTTAAAATTTCAAAGTTTGCGTGTCTCATTTGCGTAGTCTGTATTAACTTACTTCATAATTTTCCAATAAGTCATATTTTAATGTATTTTTTTGCAAAGAAGTAATGTTAATTCTTCCTTAATTATATG